GAAGAGAAGAGAAGAGAAGAGAGAGAAGAGAAGAGAAGAGAAGAGAAGAGAAGAGAAGAGAAGAGAAGAGAAGAGACAAGCAATTCTAGTGGTGATGATGTGGTATGCTCATGTGCCAATTAAGTCCTTTATGGGGTGACTGGGATAAAGATCTTCATAATAGGCTCCTGAGAAGTGAAGACAGTGGGATTTTCTATCTTATGAATTTTTTTTACTGTTTTAGTGTCCCCTAAACCACCTAGTGTCTGATTATTTTTAAACTATGCAAGTATTCTTGGACTCCTAGTATGCTGGCAGGTTCTGGCATGCCACCTTGCCCAAAATACCTGCCTGTTCTACAACTAACTTGGTAAAGAGAGGGTCCAAATGCAACTAAGAAAGAAAGGCACAAGAGACTTTTAATAAGGATAAGAACATTTTTTTTCTGAAGGTTTTGACAATCATAGGACAGGCTAAACAGCTGTGGCACTTATAGCCCCGTGGAGAAGTAGCCGAGGCATGCACACAGGGAACTGGTAAGTACAATACATATATCCTATGCATTTGGGTGAGACGTGCATATATGCCTACACGGACACTGCTGAAGGTTCTTGCAAACATTTGCATGTTTAAAAAATGAACTATGAATGCCACCAGCAAGTATCTCATACAAATAAGTGGTAAGTAGGAACACATATAGAGAATTGATTGTGACAAGATTAGTTGTTTGAGAAAATGATGTGGCAATCTGGGGTGAATGAAGGTACAATGCTTTCTACCTACCATACAATGCAACTGGGCCTGGGTACATTTTTTAATATACTATTAAGACAGTAAGTTTGTTAAATTAAAAACCCCAGGTTTTAGAAATGGGTTGACTGTCTACCTACAAATTGTTAGCATAGGAGGTACATGAGGCCCCCCAAAACATAAAGGCTCTTGCCACTGCTGTTGAATTCATGCCAGTCCTAGACAGTGAGACTATTGCTAAAGATACCATGTGATCTAGGTGCAATACATGGAGAAATAAAACTGGGCCAAAGCTGGAAGTTCCCTCCTTACTGGCTATCTTCCATAAAGAAAGAAGGATCTATTTGTGGGCTTGAAAGGAGAACTATCACCAAAACCTTACTCAGGTACAGTCCCTGCATGCTACAGTACTATATTCCAGGCAAGGTTTGTGAAATAGTGACATGAACATTGTGAGAAAATCAAGATCATGTAAGCCTCACTCCACAGGAGTTTGTGTCTGACATTGTAAACCACTGGCTGTAGAAACCATGGTTTCCAGAAGGGATGGCCCTGATTATGATTGATTAGATAGATATGGTGTGTTTACCAAACTTCCTTCTGAACACTATTTCTCTGTCAACTTCAGAAATTGTCAGGATCTGTCATATGACAACCTACTAACTAGCAGGTGATCTTCTTGAGATGACTTTGCCTTGGATTAAAAATCTACAATGGAGCTCTGATAAGCAAGGCACAGGAGAAAATCATTTTAGGAAAGATTCCTGCTATTAATATACTTTTCCTGTATTAGATATTAGCCCACCCTTTTGAGCAGATCTCTGTAGAACAACAAAGATGTACTGCTTTCTAGTGATGCTAAATAGACAAATAGATGACTTCTTAATAATGATGATCCTATAAGAATTCCTAAGATTATGTCAGTATTTATTAAGCTCTTTTTTAGTAGAACTACTATTAAATTCTCTCCGATAATCAAAACTGAAGTGAGAACTCTGCTTGTCTCCAAGTGTCATCAGTCAGTCAATTGCTTCTGAGATAGTAAGCAGGCATTCTACTACTCAAAGAACATTTCATCAGGTTGTAAAACCATTAACCAAAGGTCATAAAGAGGGAACTACAATTTATTACAGGTGCTAGGGGAAAAGATAAACTATTGACTGGCTTTATCTATACAGAACTTCCCTAATAACTTAGTTATGGTTTTTAACTCACCACAAACCTGTGGAGCTGTGACAGGTGATGAATGTTTAGCCAGATAATTACTCCTAATGGATATGCATGGAAACATTCTTTGTTGTAAACTTCTATTTTGATTTATGATTTTAATTTATGTGTAAACTTGTGGTGAACTTTTTACCATGTGATCATGTATTCTGAAAGTATGTATAAGTGCCGAGGACACAGAGAAGAGATAGAACTGAGCTGAGAAGAACTTTTTAGATTCAACATTTTTGAGACAGACTTGAACAGAGAACTGTTTCAGAACAGAACTGACAATAATTTTTAGTCTGGACACAAGAGAACTTTTTAGACAGAACCAAACTCAAGAACTTCAAAATAAAGGCATAACATTGGTAGACAAGGCACTGAGAGTAAGAGCATTATTGTGACATCCGAGCAGAGGAGAGAGCAAGATTAGAAGAAGAAAGCAGAGTGGAATAACTTAGAAACTATAAAGTAACAAAAAATTAAAAGAGCAATATGCAGAATCCAGAGAGAAAGAGAAAAGAAAGAAAAAGCTGCAGAGAAAGCAGAAGGATCATGTAGACTTCTTCTTACCATGGGACAGAACAGGTATTTTCTTAATAACAAGGCAGGCTTAGTCTTACTAAAGAGAACAAAGCTTTCTTCTTACAGACTTGGATTTAATTCATTTAGCAAGAAAAGGGTAGAAGCTTTTTCTTTCATTGTGCAATAAAGATTGAAGCTCAATTTTCATCCAGAATGAGTGAGTTCTTTTGGCATTGGTGCTTGGTCTTTTGCTCCAAATGCATTTGTAAGTATGCGCGCGCGTGTGTGTGTGTGTGTGTGTGTGTGTGTGTGTGTGTGTGTGTTAGAGAGAGAGAAAGAGAGAGAGACAGAGGGAGAGGAGAGGAGGGAGAGAGAGAGAGAGAGAGAGAGAATTATAAGAATGTATGCAAGCTGGGCACAACTTCTTTGAATAGAAATATATAAATGTGCATGTATAAATCTGTATATTAATTCATGTGGGTTTTTTCATATTTCCTCTTTCCTTCTGCAAGTATGATTATCTTCTCCTAACAAGTGAGAGGACAAAAGGTTAATGGCTCTAGAAATTAATCCTTTACTTAATACCCTGCAGTTTTATGATGAGGTGCTAAATCTCAGAGACTGAAGTTTTGGCCTCAAAGGTGTTGGGAGCTGACTCCTAGCCGAAAGCGGCTATCATCTTTACAACCATCTCAAGCCATATACCTGGACAAGAGACTTGTTTTCAACAGCCGGCAACAGCTGACCACACTCTGATAAACATCTTGTTTTTCTCACATATCTTGTTTTGCTGTTTAGTGCCGCCAGCTGCAAGGCGCACGTAGTCTCCTCACTGCTAGCTAGGTGCACGTGATATCCACGCTGCAAGACACATGACGTAGTGCCTTCAGCTGTGCTTGTCCTCAAGGGCAAGATACGTGGTAAAGGGTATAAATACCCAGGATTTCCTTCCAACAAACGAGACTTGAAGAGACTTGATCAGACTCCCTATCTTGTCTCCACTCTTCCCGTCTCCGTCCCCACTCTCTCTTGCTAGGCCCTGACCTGCAGACCGGAGCAGCAGAATGGGCCGTTACAAAGTGGCCCCCGAACGTGTGGCAGTTCAGGTGGCTACGAAGTGGCGCCTCAACGTTGGAGCTCCAGTAAGTGGGATACAGTGAAGGACACAGCGGGAATTGGAAGCGTGCATCCTCACTCCTGCGCTGGAGACCCTGCTGACTGACCTGAACAGGTTGCTACACAAAAGGATTCAGGCAGGTCAGCTACAAGAGCAAAGTGACTTGGACATAGATAAATAAATATTTTTATCATTGTATATCAACTATAAATATCTCATAAGACCAAGTCTTACTCCCCATATCTCACAAGACTAAGCCTTACCCCCACCTATGCTCTTTTCCTTCTGCTGCCTCAAGGAGAACTGAACAAGAAAGAAGATTTGCTAGAGCTGGCCCCCAGCAAGAACTTCCTTTTGAAAAGGATGTTTGCAGCAGACCAACAACTACCAATGAAACTCCTGAGAATAAGATGCAGATGAAATAGGACAGTGGCTCAATGATTAGTCTTGAAGAACATCAATTATTGCCCACTCTGAGGCCCATGGAATTTTTATAAAAAAATCTCAGGGAGAATGTAAGAAAAATAGAGAAAAAGGTGGTGTGTTGTAGAGCTGTCTCTTCTGTATGGAAACATTCCGTGCAAGAGAGAGCAAGAGACTCATGAGACTTAATAAGTAAAAGAATAAAACATAACATTTACATTTCTGAAATCTGTGCAATTTGAAGGATTTTCAGACACAGTAACCAACTGTTTCAGGAAGGAGATCTAAACTCAAGTACAGAATTGAGGTTCTGAGGCCTGACAAGCTACAGACTGCTCCAAGAAACTTGAATATTCAAGCTTTGAGTACATATTCTTGAGAAAAAGAACTTCTTCCTCCTCATAATGTTCACTGCTTCTTCCTTGGAAGCCATCACTTTACTTCCCAGATTCAATTAGAGGGTATTGAAGATGCTATTGCAAATGTAGAATTACTCAAATGTCTCCCTTCCACTGAGCCAGAGGTCTCTTGTGAGAGTAGCTACATGCATGTCATTCAACTCTTGGACTCCACCTATAGAATAAATGATGTATGATTATTTAAGAATTTTGGATAACGCAACATTGTATGTGAAACTTTCAAAAGAGAAATAAGTATTTCATGTTTGTTTCTGTTAAGGTCATAAAGAAAGTCTTAGCTATTCATCTTGGGAAAATAGAATATTTGCAGACTATTCTTTCTCCTCTTTAACTATCCTTTTTCTGTTTTGGGGCATGTGATCATTAACCATATGGATATCCTTGCATTCACCACCCTAATATGCAGGGTTCCTGATGTCTCTGGGCTACAAAGTTCAGGCAGGGTCTCCCATACAGAAAACATTCTGCAAAGCAAACCCCAGATTCAAAACAAGATCATGTAGGACCACATGTAGCAAGCCAGCACCATCAGGTGCTTAGATTAAAGACAATTTTTTAAGTGAAACCATAAGATTGGAAAAATCCATATGTTTTTGTTTTGGAAGACCCAAGGCCCTCATATGTACTGCCATGCCAGGAGCTTAAATTAACCAATGACCCTAAACCTTGCTTCTTTCTCTAATGTTAGTCCATTGTTCAGAGTGATAGTTCTTCACAGGACAGGAATATGTTTCTACCACTTATCAAAAGCTAAAAAGTCTTATCAACTGTCATCTAATGCTTTTACCAACCTAGTGATTCATACATCATTACTTCATTTCAGATAAGGATCCTGAGGCACAAAAAAAGTTAACAAAGAGGCTCTTGAGCCAGTGAGAACACAGCAGCAATGCCAATGCGATAGTCTGGCTGAAAATTCATCACCTTGGCACCTCCACCTCAGCTATCCTCTGAGGCAATCACTGTGAAATTTCTAGCTACTACCTAATGTCTACCCTGATTTGAGACATGAGGTCTCATTTCAATTACTTACTCAATATATGAGATCAGACTATGTTTCTCCTGCTGTATCTATGAACATATGCCAATGCCTTCCCCAATTTCCATCCCAGAAAGCCATCTCAGGGAACTACTGTCCAGTACAACACAGCTAAAGACCTGGGTAAATCCATAACATGTATTTCATCAAACAGAGCCTTATCTGTGCTCAGGACAAAACTGAGCAAATTCATTTTTGTACTCAAAGTGTCACATGAATGGAAGGAAATCATCTGGAGACAAAGTCATGGGGAAAATGGGGAAAGAGGAGGCTCCAGCTGAAGGTGCTTTTAGATCTATCAGGCTTTAATGTGCAGCAACTGGAGCTGAAGCTATTTTCTTGGTCTTCAAAAAAAGAGTGTCATAGACAAGACTAGTGATATACTTTGTAATTTCAGCCAACAGGAGATGGAATAGGAAGTGGCAAGTATAAGGCCAAGGCCAGGCTAGACTACATTGTGAGATGCTATCTCGTTGGGGGGAAAACCAGAAAGTGGGAAATAGAAGGGAAAGAAAAAAACGAAAGTGGGGGAGGAAGTAAAAAAAGGGAAGAAAATGAATAGAAAACAAAAATGAGAAGGGAAAGAGATAGGGAAGGTGAGAAGTAGGATATAAGAGGCTTCTCTGAGTCTTACGAGAATCTAGAAAGACAGGGAAGTGATAGTTGAAGAATAGAGTACAAAAAGCAATCCCAACCCATCATGGGGCTCAAGGAAAGACTCACCAGAGTTAACAGGTACAGGAACATGCAATGCAAAAACCTTAACTTGGTTGGATGCTTCAGAGTAGATGGAATTTCAACAGTGAGAAAATGCTGTATGATGACCCATACAAACACCCCTAGTAAAAACGTGGATACCCCTGCTAGAAGCACCAGCCACAGAACAGCCATGATCCAGGTGCTCCAGAGCCCTGAGGAGTTGCTGTCCTGGGGAACTTGTAAGCAGAACACCTAATCCACTTTTATTGCTGCCTCCACCTCTGGCACAGTCTTCTGACTTGGCTGCCAGAACTCCACACATGCCAGCCAATGAGAGACATAAAAATTAGGTCCAAGAAAAAAAAAAAACTCCCTTAAACCTCTAAGGAGAATCTGAGAATAAGGCTTCCATATTACACTAAAATTACACTCTCACAGCATCAGCAGACTCAGATTGTATATAGTTGATACAGGTAAGATAGAAAAAATGTCTGAAAACATCACTTAGGTGGAAGAAGAGATCCTTGACCTCATGAAGGCTGGAAGCCCCAGGGGGTGGAATTTTGAGGGTGGGGAGGTGGGAGTGGGGGGATAGGTAGGGGTTACATCCACAGAGAGGAAGGAGGAGGGGTGAGGGGATAGGGGGTTCCTGGGTGGGTGGGGGATGGGGTCAGGGGACAACATATGAAATGTAAATAAAACATCCAATAAAAAAATTTTAAAAAAACCTAGAATATCAAATTTTGCCAGGGAACTAATTCAGAATATATCAGCAAGAATGATAGATCACACATTCAAAAAACTTGAAAGTGTACCCCTAACACTAAAAAAAATAACTATTATAAGAAATCTATAGCCAAGTGGTGGCTTACACCTTTGATTCAGCACTTGGGAGGCACATGCCTTTAATCCCGACACTTGGGAGACAGAGGCAGGAACATAAGAATGAGTGATTGACATTTAAAAGACACATTCAAAAGGCAGGCTGAAATTCAAAGTGACCATCCTTTGTGATCTAAAAACAAACATATTTTCTTTAAAAACTCAAACAGCAACACATGATAGTGAGACTGTGGAGAAAGACAACACTCCTCTATTACTGGTGGAATTCAAAACTTGTACAACCACTCTTAAACTCAATCTGGTGGTTTCCCAGAAAACTATAAATAGTTCTACCTGAAAACCCAGGTGTACATTCAAAAGACGTTCCACCATACCACAAGGATACATGCTCCACTATGTTCATAGGAGCTTTATTCATAATAGCCAGAAACTAGAAACAACTCAGATATCCTTCAACCGAATGGATACAGAAAATGTGATTCATTTACACAATGGAATACTATTTAGCTATTAAAAACAAAAACATCGTGAATCTTTCAGGCAAATGGATGAAACTAGAAAATATCCTGAGTGAGATAACCCAGTCCCAAAAGGACATGCACAGTATGTACTTACTTATAAGTGAATATTAGCCATAAAGTACAGAATACCCATGATACACCTCACAGACCCAAAGAAGCTAAACATGAAGGAAGGCCCAATTGAGGATGTTTGAATCTCACTTAGAAAGGGGAACAAAGTAGTCATGGGAGGCAGAAGTAGAAAGGGAACTGGATAGGAGAGAGGAGAGGAAGGGGAATGGGAAGGCAGGAACAGGTGTGGGAAGAAACATGAGAGAGACCCAGAGGGCCAGAAGAATGAATGGAAATCTGTAGCTGCTGGAGGTGAGAGGTGGAGGGAATCTCTAGGAAGTCCCATGGAGACCTGGGATAGGGGAGGCTTTCAGAAGTCAATGCAGGTGACCTTAACCAAGATGCCTAACAGCGGGGACATTGAACCTGAAGAGGCCACCTCCTATTACCATGCAGAACCTCCAATGGAGGGGCAAAGACACCAACCCATCCACAAAACTTTTGACTCAAAATTTGTCCTGTTTAAAAGAAATTCAGGAACAAAGATCAAGCAGTCTGAAAGACTGGCCAACCAATAACTAGCCTTCATCCAATGGGCAAGCAACAGTCTGACATTATTAATGATACTTGCCAGAAGCCATCTAAGAGAGGTTAAAAACTAGCAGGTGGTATTCCTGAGATGGTTTTATCGCAGTCTGTGAACTACAATAAATAAGCCCTTTTTAGGCAAGGCCAAAACGGACTAGATTTTAGGAAAGATTTGTGCTATTAATGTGCCTTTCATATATATATCTGAGGACTTGGCAAGCAGAGGACCTGGACCTGTGGAAAAAAGAACAAAGGACCTTTTTACTTAATCCCCTGAACATAACATATACGTGTGTGTGTGTGTGTGTGTGTGTGTGTGTGTGTGTGTGTGTGTATATATATATATATATATTCACTAGATATTGGCCCATTTGGGCAGATCTCTGTAGATTGACAAGGATGTACTATAATATAGTGATGCTATATACACAAATAGATGGCTTACTAATTCTTAATGATGATCATATAAGAATTCCTAAAACTGTACTAGTAATTATTAAGCCCTTTCTAATAGGACTGCTATTAATGCCTTCTCTGGTATGAAAACTGCAATTAGAACTCTACCAGTCTTCACATGTAGAGAGTTAATTGCTTCTGAGATAGAAAGCAGGCATTTACAACTTAGAACACATTCCAAGAGGTTGTATTACAATTAACCAAAGGTCATAAAAGTGAACTGTCTATTTATTGTAGATGCAAAGACAGAAGATAAAATATTGACTGGGTTTATCTATACAAAACTTCAATGTTAACTTAGTCACAAAAATTATAGTTTTAGACTCTCAACAAACTTATGGAGCCAGTGGCAGATAATGAATATCGAGTTAGATAACAGACATTATTAGAAAAAACATGTAAACACCTCTATTGTAAACTTCTTATTCGATTTATGATTTGAATTTATGTTTGAACTTTTAGTGAAATTTTGTAAAAATCAAAAATGCTTGGAAATAACATGAAATCTATTCCCTAGAAAAGGTACAAAAACCTAGGAGTGATTATATTACATTGCATTATATTAAAGCAGAAAGAGAGAGCAAGATTAGGAGAAGGAAGGAGGACAACAGAGTAGAGTAATTTAGAAATTTGCAGAGCAACTTAGAAATTTAGAGAGCACAGACTATGATAGTTTTTTTCCTCGTACACTTTCCCTCAGAAATAAAGATTAGAATCCTTTCTTAAAGTGTCTCCTTTTTTTCTCTTCCTGCATGTGACCTTCCCTAGTAGATAAGGAGGTAAATAATCTCTCAGCCTGAGGACTTGGCAAGCAGAGGACCTGGACCTATGGAAAAAAGAACAAAGGACATCTTAACTTAACTTCCTGCTATTAAGCAACAAGTGTTAATTCCATCAGAGGCCTGCAGCTTCTGGCTTTAAATAAGAATCAAGATAGGTAAATGTTGCTATTAAAAGGAAAAGGAAAAAAGCAGCCTTCCACCAGGGCAAAACATCAGCTTGTGTTTCTCTGAAGACCCCACAGTCTGAAGGTCTCCCAAGAAATTTGCTGCAGCTAGATCATTGGCGTGCATGGCCTATGAAGACCCTACAGTCTGAAGGCCTCACAGGAGATCTGCTATAGCCAAAACCACAGGCCTTCCAGGAGACCTGCAACAACCCAGAGACACAGGAAACAGACCCCAGACAGAGACACCCAGGCCAGTTAACACCAGAGCTAACCAGATGGTGAGAGGCAAGTGCAAGACCGTAAGCAACTTTGGCACCATCAGAACCCCGTTCTCCCAAAACAGCAAGCCCTGAATACCCCATCACACCTGAACATCAGGAATCTGACCTAAAATCCTATCTCATGACGATAATAGAGTACTTTAAGGAGGATATAAATAACTCACTGAAAGAAATACAGGAAAACACAGGTAAACAGGTGGAATCCCTTAAAGAGGAAACAAATAAATACTTAAAGAAATAAAAATTGAACAAGGTGCTCCAAGACCTAAAAATGGAAGTAGAAACATAAAGAAAACACAAAAGGATGAAACACTAGAAATGGATATCCTAGGAAAGAGGTCATGAACTACAGATGTAAACATTAACAACAGAATATAAGAGACAGAAGAAAAAAATCTCAGGCATAGATATACCTTAGAAGATACTGATACAACAGTCAAAGAAAATTTAAAACATAAAAAACTGCTAACCCAAAACATCCAGGACATCCAAAACATAATGAAAAGACCAAATCTAAGAATGATAGAAATAGAAGAGTGTGAAAATTCTCAGCTCTAAGGACCAGAAAGCATCTTCAACACAATTATAGAAGAGAACTTCTCTAACCTAAGAAAGAAAAGCCCAAAAATGTACAAGAAGCCTATAGAACACCAAATAGATTGGACCAAAAAAAAAATCCTGTTGTTACATAGTAATCAAAACACTAAATGCACAGAACAAAGAAAGAATTTTAAAAGCTGTAAGGGGAAAAGGCCAAGGAACATATAAAGGCAGAAATATCAGAATTACAACAAACTTCTCAACAGAAACCCTAAAAGCCAGAAGAACCTGGCCTTCAACAAGAACAAAAACACCAGAAAGCCTATATATTCAGGGAAATTAAGAAACTCTATACTCAATGATCTCTGGGTCAGGGAAAATAAAGAAAGAAATTAAATATTTTCTAGAATTCAATAAAAATGAAGCCACATCATACTCAAATTTATGGGACACAATGAAAGCAGTGCTAAGAGGAAAGTTCATAGTACTATGTGACTCCATAAAGAAGTTATGAAGTTCCCATAACAGCAATTTAAAAGTACACCTGAAAGCTCTAGAAAAAAAAAGAAAGAAACAAGCACACCAAAAAGGAGTAGAAGGCAGAAAATAATCCAAATTGGGGCTGAAATCAGTTAGAAACAAAGAAAACAATACATAGACTCAACAAAACCAAGAGCTGGTCCTTTGAGAAAATCAATAAGATAGACAAATCCTTACTGAAACTAACCAAAAGACAGAGAGACAGTATCCAAATAAACAAAGCCAGTAATGAAAAGGGACACATAACAACTGATACTGAGGATATTCAAAGAATCGTTAGGCTTACTTTAAGAGGCTGTACTCTACAAAATTGGAAAATCTTAATGAAATGACAATTTTTTTAGACAGATACCACTTACCAAAGTTCAATCAAGATCAGGAAAACTATTTAAACAGTCTTATAACCCCTAAAGAAATAAAATC